TTTTTTTTTTTTTTTTTTGAGACAGAGCCTCAAGCTGTCCCTCTGGGTAGAGTGCTGTGGCATCACAGCTCACAGCAACCTCCAACTCCTGGGTTCAAGCAGGTCTCCTGCCTCTGCCTCCCAAGTAGCTAGGGTCACAGGTGCCCATCACAATGCCTGGCTATTTTTTTTGTTTGCAGCCATCATTGTTGTTTGGCAGGCCTGGGCTGGATTCAAACCCACCACCTTAGGTGTATGTGGTTGGCGCCTTAGCCACTTGAGCTACAGGCGCTGAGCCTCAAGCAGTTTTCTTGCCTTAGCCTCCGAAGTCAAGTAGCTGAGCCTACAGGTGCCCACCATAATGCCTGGCTATTTTTTGTTGCAGTTGTCATCTTTGTTTAGCAGGCCTGGGCCAAGTTCAAACCTGCCAGCTCTAGTGTATGTGGCCAGCACCCTAACCACTGAGCTATAGGCGCTGAGCCTGAAACGTTTTTATATATATGTATATGTATTTGTGTGTGTGTGTGTGTGTGTATGTATATATATATATATATCTTTTCTCTTTTTCCTTTTTTTTTTTTTTTGAGACAGAGCCTCAAGCTGTCACCTTGGGTAGAGTGCTGTGGCATCATAGCTCGCAGTAATCTCCAACTCCTGAGCTTAGGCGATTGTCCTGCCTCCACCTCCCAAGTAGCTAGGACTATAGGTGCCCGCCATAACGCCTGGCTATTTTTTGGTTGCAGCTGTCATTATTGTTTGTTGGGCCCGGGCTGGATTCCAACCCACCAGCTCAGGTGTACGTGGCTGGCACCTTAGCCGCTTGAGCCACAGGCACCGAGCCTATATATATCTTTTTTCTAGGATTCCTAATGCCATATCTGGTTTCCATTCTCTTTTCAAGATAGTTAATTTAAGCTTTCAAAATTTCAGCCTGCCTTACTTTGTAATAGAAACAGTCCAGAACCTGTGGTTTATATCTAATAATTAAAGGGTTTCTATCTATATTTTAGTTATGGGGTTTCTTGTTGCTATTGTTTAAATTTTTTAAGTAACTTGGCTCAGTGCCTATAGCTCAGCAGCTAGGGCACCAGGCACATATGTGGGAGTTGGAGGGTTCTAACCCAGCCCTGGCCTGCCAAACAGCAATGACAGCTATAACCAAAAAATAGCCAAGTGTTGTGGTGGGTGCCTGTAGTCCCAGCTGTCTGCGCAGCTGAGACAAGAATCGCTTAAGCCCAAGAGTTTGAGGTTGCTATGAGCTGTGATGCCACAGCACTCTACCAGGGCAACATAGTAAGACTCTGTCCCTCAATAAATAAATACATACATAAATAAATTTTCCAAGTAACTCTAACATCCTCTATTATTTTTGTTGCAGGCAACATCTAGACTAAGAGAAAGAGGCTGCGATGGTCGCCTGGCAGGAATTGAAGTTCAGCAGCTCTTTTGTTCTCAAAGTGCAGCAATTCCTGAGCACCAGCTAAAAGAACTGAACATAAAAATTGACAGTGCTTTGCAAGTAAGTTTTTCAGAACTGACATACCGATATTCAAGGGATAGAATCAAGAGAGGCAATTAAAATCATGATGTTGAACTAATTAGAAAAGATACTAAAATAGTAATTGGTCTCAAATCTTTCAATAACTATAGAAATTTTAAATTTCTATTTCTATTAGACTTTGTTGTCTTATAATCTGTTATAAAATCTCGACTCTTGGAAATAATTTATTTGCAGGCATATAAGATAGCTCTGGAAAGCTTAGGCCACTGTGAATATGCAATGAAAGCTGGCTTCCACCTGAATCCAAAGGCAATTGAAGCAAGTTTGCAGGTACGCTTTCTTTCTGGTAGCTATTGGAACTTATGTGAGCCATTCACACAGTGTACGGTGAAGCAAGTGTTTTGACAGATGAGCTGTGGGTCACCTCTCCTCTCTCATCCAAACTTTTTCCAGGGCTGCTGCAGCGAGGCAGAAGCCCAGCAGACGGGGCGAAGGCACACACCCCCGCAGCCCATGCAGTGTGAGCTTCCCACAGTCCCTGTGCAGATAGGATCGCACTTCCTGAAGGGCGTCTCCTTTAATGAGTCGGCCGCCGACAATCTGAAACTTAAGACGGTAACTTTCCATGGGGTTCCAGTAACCAAGCATGAACTTGAAATCAGAGTTGTTAAGGGAAACTTAAGGGCTTGTGAAAAATGTAAATTAAAAAACAAAACAAACTAGGCACAGTAGCACATACCTATACTTCTAGCACTTTGAGAGGCCCAGGCGGGAGGATTGCTTGAGGCCAAGAGTTCAAGACCAGCCTGAGCAAGAGCAAGACTCCTCTTCTCTACAAAAAAATAGAAAACTTAGCCCACTGTGGTGGCATATGTCTGTATTCCCAGCTACCTGGGAAGTTGAGTCAAGATAGTCATTTGATTCCAAGAGTTGAGCTTGCAGTGAGCTGTGATGATGCCACTGTAGTCTTGCCCAGGTGAGAGTGAGACTCTGTCTCCAAAAAAAATACAGAAGCTGGGCACAGTGGCATGTAACTGTAGCCCTATTCTGCCTTTGAGAGGAGAATTGAGCCCAAGCTCACACAAAAACTAGGAAAGTGGAATTTGAGCATTTGCAGTCTTTTTTCCAGAGTCTGCATACCTGAACACTTGGATAGCCAAAATAAAGTTGAGGTTTTGATTGGTATTTATTTTTACCAGATGATTTTGTTTCCTTATTTGGAGTGATTCAGAATTTCAAAATTCCTCAACTAGTTGTCATCAGTAAATTGCTAAATAATTCTGTATTTTGTGCTAGTATAGGAATCACATGTGTGTATTATAATACATGTGTGTTCATATCTGGCCATTTACTCTACTTGGTTGAGGAAATCTCTTAGACTGATAAAAAGAAATTCAGACCTGGCTAGGCAAGGTGGTTCACTCTTTTTTTTTTTTTTTTTTTGCAACAGAGCCTCAAGCTGTCACCCCGGGTAGAGTCACAGCTCACAGCAACCTCCAACTCCTGGGCTCAAGCGATTCTCCTGCCTCTGCCTCCCAAGTAGTTGGAACTACAGGCACTCCCCACAGTGCCCGGCTATTTTTTGGTTGCAGCTGTCATTATTGTTTTGGCGGGCCTGGGCTGGATTTGAACCCGTCAGCTCAGGTGTATGTGGCTGGGACCTTAGCCACTTGAGCCACAGGCGCCAAGCTGTTTCACTCTTATAATCCCAGAACTTTGGGAGGCTGAGGCGGTGGATTGCTTGAGCTCACAAGTTCAAGACTAGCCTGAGCAAAAGTGAGAACTCCATCTCTACTCAAAATAGGAAGCTTGAGGCAAGAGGATCACTTGAGCCCAAGAGTTTGAGGTTGCTGTGAGCTGTGACGCCATGGCCCTCTACCCAGGGCAACAGCTTGAGACTATTGGCTGGGCATGGTGGCTCACACCTGTAATCCTAGCACTCTGGGAGACCGAGGCAGGTGGATTGCCTGAGCTCACAGGTTCCAGACCAGCCTGAGCCAGAGTGAGATCTTGTCTCTAAAACTAACTGGGCTTGTGGCAGGCACCTGTAGTCCCAGCTACCTGGAGGCTGAGGCAAGAGAATC